GAATAAAAAAGTACCTTTCCTAGACACTTTAGAAATTGATGTACAGAATACACACGAACTCTATTTTTAATGCTGTGGCACTGGGAAATTCCATACAGTAAAAATGTAGTGTTTTCATGTTGCTGTAAAATATGAGTTTAATGTGCTGAAAAGGGGGACTTGGGCATTCTACTTGTACTAAGTTCTGTATAGAAGTATTTTTGTTGTTTATTTTTGTTTGTTTAAAAAAAGCTGCCAGTGCCAGGCACCGGTGGCTCATGCCTGTCATCCTAGCTACTCAGGAGGCTGAGATCTGAAGATCGTGGTTCAAAGCCAGCCCGGGCAGGAAAATCTGTGAGACATTTATCTCTAATAAACCACCAGAAAACCAGAAGTGGCCCTGTGGCTCAAGTGGTAGAGCACTCACCTTTAGCAGAATTGCTGAGGGACAGCGCCCAGGCCCAGAGTTCAAGACCCACAGCCAGGGGAAAAATAAATAAATAAATAGCTGCCAGTGGCTCATATCCAGCATCCTAGCTACTTAACAGCTTGAGATTGGGAGACTGAGGTTCTAGGCCACTGTAGGCAAAAAAAAAAAAAAAAATCTACGGAACCCCTATTCAATGGAAGAAGTGGTACATGCCTGTCTTCCGCTAAGGTGGAAAGCTAATATAACAGGAGGAACATGGTCGAGCCATGTGCCTAGGCAGGAAGCAAGACCCTATCTCAAAACTAAAATCAGTGCAAAAATCCAGCATGAGGTGTGGCTCAATGGTAAAGTGCCCGATCAGCAAGTTGAGCCGCTGACAAGTTGAGCCGCTGAGTTCAAATCCCAGCACTGCCCTCCCCTCCAAACCAATATAAAATGGAACAGTGAAAACACTGTAATGACTTGGCAGTGTTCTTTGTACAAAGCACCTGGATCAATGTCATCCTTTCCTCCATTCTTCCCAATCTATCTCTACTCCATCCATCTCTACCCTAAAGTTACATAGTATACATCAGTATGACTGCAGTTGCTCAACCTTCCTCCATATGTGTCAATGAAACTTGAAGTCTTCCATACATTATTCTAGGCATTAATGCAGTGATTGTAAATATAATCAACCATTACAAATCACAATATCATCCTTAAAATTATCTAATATTTGAGTCAAGGAGAAGGCTAGACACTAACTGGAATAGGCTCTAGCAGTATTATGTAGGCTTTTATTTAAATATATATATATATATATATATATATATATATATTTTTTTTTTTTTTTTTTGTCGGTCATGGGGCTTGAACTCTGGGCCTGAGCACTGTCCCTCAGCTCTTCAGCTCAAGGCTAGTGCTCTACCACTTGAGCCATAGCACCACTTCCGGTTTTCTGGTAGTTTATTGGAGATAAGAGTTTCACGGACTTTCTTGCCAGGGCTGGCTTTGAACCATGACCCTCAGATCTCAGCCTCCTGAGTAGTTAGGATTACAGGCGTGAGCCACCAGTGCTCAGCAAACGTACAGTATTTTTATGTTCTAATCTATTCACCTTGAGATAAAAATGGGCTGCTATATAGTCTTAGTTTTTTTTCACTCATGACTGACTTTAAAAAAACGTAAAAAAATTTAAGACACTTACACAGTTATCTAATAACATTATGTTCTAGTTGGTGAAAGTTAATGTTATTGCCAGCAAACACGTTAAAACCCCACATGTGTACCTCACAGTGGTGGGAACCCTGCAACTAGGTGCATGATGGGATGGACAGGTGTGCTTCCTGTGTGCCTGTCAGCTACTGCAGTCAGCTGGCTGCATTGACAACCGTGTGGTCCGTGAAGGATGTTACAGATATCAGATGGCTTTTGGCAGAATAAGGATTCTGATATGCATAGTATAAAACATGCACACAGCAAAACTTTCAGAAATGAACGAAAAATAACATTAAAAATTTTAACTGAAGTCCAATATAAGAACTTATTCATTATTTTTGAAAGTCTTGGTTTACTCTTTTAGGTCATGGCGATTTGCATTTATGCCAGTCCTGGGACTTGAACAGGGTGTGGGTGCTGTCCTTGAGCTTTTGTTCTCAAGACTTAGCACTCTACCATTTGAGCCACAGCTCCACTTCTGGCTTTTTGGTAGTTAATTGGAGATAAAGAGTCTCAGGGTCTTTTCTGCCTGAGCTGGCTTTGAACGGTGATTCTTAGATAGATCTCAGTCTCCTTGAGCAGTTAAGATTACAGTTAGGATTACTGGGAGCCACTGGTTCCCAGTAAGTTTGATTTTGTTTTAGTACAATAGATTTTGTATTTTAAGAAGTTTTAGATTTACAAAAAGCAAAGATAGAACTACTCCATACCAATTTCCTTTATTCCTAACATTTTGTTAATCTGTGGCATATTTGTTATAATTAATGAACCAGGAAGCCTGTGGTTTATTGAAATTTCCTTTAACCTGTTATCTTGTGTCAGGATACTACTACTCAGGATGCATTACTGAAGTAAGGAGACTGGGTCTATGCCTTCCCTAGATAATTGGCCCTTGATTTCCTCTGATTGTTTCCTCAGATGATTTGCTTTTTTATTAGGTTTAAGTGTCCTCATCTGGTTTACTTTGCTTATGTATAACACTCTTGTTAGGTTTAATTCCACACACTTTGTGTGGTTTTGGCTTATATAAACCTTGTCCTAGCTGCATGTGAGACTGCTGGTCTTCGAGACAAGGCTACCAGCAGTCCTCCGGCTCTACAGTACTCATAATTTGGCCTCTTAGGTGGTGGCTTCCGTCTCTCTCATGACTGAGTTTCTTACATCAACACTAGCTGACCTGTCTTCTCAGGCTCTGCTTGTGTCTGTCTCAGACTTGTTATTGATGACTGTTAATTTTGGAAAGTTCTAATCAGGCATTTTGAAGATTGCTCCTCAAACAGATTGCCTAATGCATATATTAACATTATATTTGGCATGGAATTATGGGTTTGGGAGAGAAATCCACTTTCATCAGATCACATCAAGGTGACATGCTAGCAATGTGACTTACTCCTGAGGTCAGGCTCCATGCTAACATGGTGTCCATGGATAAGCATTCAGTCTACCAAGGTCTAGTGACAACCAAAAGCAGAATAGTTTTCCACAGAAGACAGCAGGGTTTGCAACCAAATCCTAAGAGTTTGAACTGTAATTCTCCTACAAAAGACTAACCAGCATGTAAATCTGCCACTGCTTCTTTAAGTACTACTGGACCTGATGGATCTGCCTAAGTGGCAGAGCTACTCCCATACCAGTCCAGGCTTGTTGTAGCGTCCCCTTCTCTCCTACTGGGCGCTGAGCCTTGTAACTCCTACCTTGAAGTTCCATTGTGATAGAAGGCTCCTGAAATTTTGGGCTTTCCACCACCACTCCCCCACACTCTGACACAAATATATTGCCAGTAAGTCTGGTGTGGTAGCTACTCCTTTTTCATTGGAACTACTAACTTGTGAGGTTCTTTGGAAACAGAAGGCGAATGAGGATGCTATGGATTAAATTATAACACAGGACCTAAGAACTGATTTCTCTTTTTGGTAGGACAGGAAATGTATATTGCTGGTCTTGCCAGTGGGAAGTAAACATGTTTGTTTGTTTGTTTTCCTCTCTTAACAGGTAGAGAGGAAAAAAGCACTTTTCAACCAATAGCTGCACTTCATACCAGACGGGCTGGGTGGCTTGAGCAATGAAACCAAGTCTTTGTGTGAGTATGTATGTGTGTGTGTGTCAGTTCTGGAGCTTGAACTCAGGGCCTGGATGTTGTCCTTGAGCTTTTGTGCTCAAGTGTTAATGTTCAGGGGTGCACTTATCATTTGAGCCACAACTCCACTTCTGGCTCTTTTTGGGAGTGATTAATTGGAGATAAGAGTCTCTCAGACTCTCGTGCAGACATTTTAGACTAAATTCTTCATTGTCTTTTCTTCACAATTGGTGACTATCAACGTTCTTTGGCTTCTAGCAGCCTCCCTCCAATCTCTGCTTACTGTCCGACGTGGCCTTATCTCCTGGAGTCTGATTGTCTATGTGGCCTCTCCTTTAGCAAGCACCCTAGTCATTAGATTTAGGGCCCATTTATATCCAGTGGATCTCATCTTAATTACATCGAAGCGATCGTAGTGTGAGGTTCCAGAGGGAAATAAACTGGGAGGAGCATTGTTCAGCCCACTCCAATCCCTTACTTTTAAGTTCCGAATTTCTCATCAGGTGTTTTTATCTTTCCAAACAAAGTTAAATACCCCAGCGTTCTCTGCCTCAAAAACCAAAGCATTTTGTTGATGCGCACCACTCTCTCGAGTGGTCTCCTAGACCTGTCCTCGGATCTTCACTCCTAATTGCAATCACCTTTCAAAACAGCCTTCTCCTGTCCCCCTGCCCCCCGCCACCTCCGGGCCTGGTCTCCAACGTGCTTCTCCCCCGATTTTACTTTGGACTGAGCGCAGGGCCCTGCCCTCGCGGGCCGGCGTCCGCCACGCGAGCCAGGCCTCCAGGCCTCTGGGAGCGGAGCGCTCCCGCTGCGTGTTCCCACCCCGCCCCGAAGCCCGGCCGGTCTCCGCGCGGCCCCGGCAGGCCGCTCCTCCGCGGCCTGGGCCCTACCCGGATGTCGGCAGCGCCAACCGCCGCCTCTGCTCCCGCTCCTCCTACGCGAGGACACGGGCACACACAGCTCGGTTCCGAGGACACGTCCACATACACGTAGGAAGCGCAAAGAACTCCAAGAGTGCCTCACGGTGACCCCTCCGCGGAGGCCGCGCGTCCCACTCCCGCGGGCGGACGGGAGGGCGGGCGGGCGCCACGTCACTCACCCCGCACGCGCTCCGGCGCCGCCGCGGCCCCTCGGCACCCGAGGGCTGAACCGGCGCAGTGGCCGCGGCGCGCGCGCACACGCACACGCATGCGCAGGCCCCGCCCCCTCGCCGCGGGGTAGAGGTCGAGGGGCGGGCCATGGTGACGCGCGCGGAAGCGCCGGTGGAGCCTGGAGAGCCGCTTGGCAGTGGAGCGGCGGCCGCGGCGGCCGGGCGCCGGGCAGGGCAGGGCAGGCCCGGGATTGCTCCGAGCGGTTGGACCCCGTCCGCCGCCGCATGAACCGGGGGACCATGCCTCAGCCCGGATCGTGGCCGGGCGCGGGCTGCGCGGAGACGCCGGCGCGGGAGGCGGGGGCCGCGGCGCGGGCCGGCGGGCAGCCCCGGCCGGCGGTGCGGTGCCCGGCGGCGCGGTGCCCGGCGGAGCAGTGAGTCTGGGGACCGGGCCGGGGCCGCGGCGGGCGGCGGCGGGGTCCCCGGTCCCCTCCCGCGGCGTCCTCACCTCACGGGGACCGGGGCGGCGGTCACCGCGTCTCAGGTGTCACCGTCCGGTCGCTCCGCGCCCCGAGACCCCCGCTCGACGTCGCTTCCCGTCAGGAAAGCTCCGGAAAGCTCGGGACTCGGGCTCCGGAAGAGTCGTCACGCGGTCACCAGCTCCCCCGAGCCCCTCTGCCCACCTGGCCGGGGAGGGACTCGGTCGCCGCCCGCGCCGCGCCCCACCTGTTGGGCAGACTTGGGGCGCCGCCGGGCCCCATTCCTCCGCTCACCCCACCCCGCCCGGCTGCACATCCCTCCGTCCTTTCCAAAGCAGAGCTCGGAAGTCCGTGCCGGACGGTGGCGGCCGCCTCCCGGGTGCCCAGCCCCTGCCTGCCGCGTGGGAATGGGGCGCGTGGGGAAGCGGGCAAGCTGCCCACACTGGCCCATTGCCTTGGGCTTCCAGAACGGACCGACAGCGCTCAACCCACTGGCCGGGCGGTGCCGTGGTTTAGAGGTGTTTCAAAGGACTTTTAATCTCTAAAAAGGTGTCCCTTGGAAGCCATCATGTAGATAGAGTGTATGCAATTACGCATTTGCATAGTACTTTGCCTTGGGCCTTGATGGGTTTCATTTACTGGGCATCCAAGTGCGATGCTAATTATTCATTTAAAGGGTGTTTGTGGGCACTGGGGAAAGATTTAGAGTCCGGTCTCCTCCCAGAGCTCAGCAGGTAACTTCCGAGGTAGACCTGCCGAGTTGTGTCTCTTTTGCGCACGGTTGTACCTCAACTCTAGCCTCTACTTGTTGGGTCTTCTGGCTTTTGTGTGAAATATCCTGATTTTTAAATAGCATCACTTATTATTTTCCTTTATATTAGCACCCACGTAGAGGCCCGTGTGTGAGTTACTGTGAGAACTGCTTCACATCTCACCACAGGCTAAGTAGGTCTCTTCCTTCTGCTCCATACTGTCTGTCGACACCTCCCTCCCTCCCTCCCTCCCTCCCTTCCTTCCTTCTTTCCTTCCTTCCTCTCTCTCTTTCTTTCTCGCTCTCGCTCTCTCTCACTCTCTCTCGCTCTCGCTCTTTCTTTCTCGCTCTCTTTCCTCGGTCATGGGGCTTGAACTCTGGGCCTGGACTCTGTCCCTCAGCTCTTCAGCTCAAGGCTAGCACTCTACCACTTGAGCCACAGCACCACTTCTGGCTTTTTGTGCTTATGTGGTGCTGAGGAATTGAACCTAGGGCCTCATGCATGTGAGGCAAACATTCTACCACTGAACCACCTTCCCAGCTCTCCCATACTAATTTCTGACTGCTGCCTCCTTGGCTGGACCCAGGACCCCACTTAGATGCCTTGGGCATGGGTGCTGTGCCTCAGTCGTGGTCAGAGCAAATTTTCCTACCCTCTGAGAGATGCATAAATGTGAAGCCAGACCATGTTCCAAAAAGTACACATGGTTTGTGTGGCAGGTTTTCTGGTACATGTCCTTCTCAGACTCTGAACACAAAGGGAAATGGTACTGGGGAAATGCACTTGGAGGGGCCTCTAGAAGGAAGTCTTTATGCTGCTTTTGTCTCCCTTCAGTTGAAATGAATCTAAAACTCTTAGCCTGGGTTTGTCATCTTCTCCACTAGAAAACATTTGCAGATTCATGTGGTGCAGTTTGGCCAGGAAGACTCAAGAGTAGGTTTCAGGGCCTCTCTGCCACCTCTTCCTGGACAACTCATAAAAACCAGAGCGGGACATAATTTATCATTCTTCCATAGATTTTTTTTGTAGTTTTAGTATTAGCTTAAGTTTTTCTCTTTCTTTTTGTTGTCTTATTCCATTCCTCATTAACTCATTAGATAGGGAAAGAAGGGAGATGCATGTAAGTTTCAGATGTTAAGTTTTGAACTTTATATCTTAAATTTTCTAGTGTATTTGTCTTTTTGAATCAGAGTTATATGGGCTGTTTGTCTTTGTGATGTTTTCTCAGGGGCTAGAGAAATTGGTTTGCAGCTTCATAGAAATATACAGTTTACAATGTATGTAAAATCCCATAGGATCATTTGCAGCTTAATACTTTGAGTATAAATTAGAGTAGTGTAATGTACTTTTGAGATCTCTTTTTTGGACATTGGAGCAAAAAACATTCTTTACACCAGATAGATTCAATGCAAATATTTGCATCCGGAAATATAAACTATATGATTGCAAATGTTTCATTTTGTGGAGTCATTTTGAATACACTTGGTGGAAGGCAGTTAGAAAAATCAAGGCAACTGTTTGCATCTGAGTGATATTTTTGGGATGTGGCTTTACAGAGGGTGAAGGGTGGCTCAGTCCTAGCAGCATAGGTTATGTTGATTTCTTCCAATAATTGTGCATTGCTCAAGAGAGAGGAATAGGGAAGAGGGACAAATAAACCACAGGGATAAACTGCTTTGTAAATCTCCTTGAGATTTTCCCTTCTTTTTATAACAGCTCATTTGAGGGACAGCCCCCAGGAGATGCCAGCGTAATTTAGTGTCCCATTTGAAGAAATCTTAAACCAGATTGTCTCCGGAAGCTCTCTTACTGCTAAGGTGTCTGTGCCCTTTCTTCTATGATTGCTTCCCTCCTGAAGTTACTCCTGCTGGTCTGCTTCTTACTTACCCTTAGCTCTGCTAAGTCATTGGTTCTCATGCACATGGCCAGGCCAGATTAGGGAGAGAGACCTCTGCATTGCTTTTCTTATCCCCTGAGGGTGGGGCAGGTTTGAATCCAAAGTTTGTGGATGGGCTCTGTTGTGGGAGCATAGATCATCTTCAATGCCCTATGAAGTTGAGGGAAAATTTGTGCATGTTTTGGGCCAGCATTAGGACAAAAGATGAATTCTCCCTCCGAAGTAGTAAATCTGTTCCTTATTGTTGCTGAGCATACTGTCCTGTGGTGTGTTTTCTGCCCCAGCTCCTAAGGTATGGTGTGGATGAGATGGGGTAACAATGGCTCCTTTTTCTTTCCCCATCTGATAAATAGCTTGCTTTAGTGATCAGGATTGGAATGTCACAAAGAATCAAGCCTCATTGTTTCCTCATACCTCTGGAAGTCACATATATAACATGAGCAAGCCAAGGAAAGTCCACTTGCGGCAGGAAGGAGGTGGAATTTTGGCCTGGGTGCCGGTACTTTCCTCAGTCTGATATGTTGCTACTCTTGATAACCACTGAGCGGTGGAGAAGGGCTGGCTTGAATGGTCTTTGCTTTTCCTGTCTGTGTGGGAAGATGTGTTAGTGTCACAGTGGTTGACAGTCTCACTAACACTGCCTGGGCTATTAGTCTTCTAAGACAGGTCAAGTTAGGCATGACCTTCAGGGCTCAAGTTCAGAGCTGAACAAAGCCATCCTTAGTTCTTTTGATAACTAGAGACAGATTGGTGCAAAGGTTCATAAATGGTGAGAAGTTAGTTTTTTGTTTTTGTTTTTGCTGGTCCTGGGGCTTGAACTCAGGGCCTGGGTGCTGTCCCTGAGCTCTTTTACTCAAGGCTGGCGCTCCACCACTTTGAGCCATACTACCACTTCTGGCTTTTTAGAGTAGTTTATTAGAGATAAGAGTCTCACAGGGACTTTTTTTCCTGGGCTGGCTTTGAACAATGATCCTCAGATCTCAGTTTCCTGAGTAGCAAGGATTATAGGATTAAGCCCTTGGTGTCTGGCTTTGTTTGCTTTGTATATACATGAGAATTGTTTTTATATCACATTTACTTAAATTAGCAATTGAAAAAGAAGTGGCTTCACAGAGGTCTTCTGCTTCATTGAGCTCTGCTTTTAATTTACAGCTTTTGGAAATAGTAGATTTTGTCCTTCATACTAGTATTTTTAAACAGTATTATAATTTGTTACTATGGTAGTCTGAACAGAGCAACAATGCTAGTTATAACTTAGTTTGTACTCTCATAATGCTTACATTGCTTTACTATTAAGAATTAATTGTTCTGGGTACTGGTGGTTCATGCTTGTAATCCTAGTTACTCAAGGAGGCTGAAATCTACAGGATTAAAGTTTGAAAACAGCCTGGGCCGAAAAGTCCATAATGCTTATCTACAAAATCAGCAAAATGATAGGCTGGAGGGGTGGTAGCTCCACTGATAGATGAACAAGCAGACTGAGAATGAGGCTCTAAGTTCAAACTCCAGTACTAGCAAAAGAAAATCATCCCAATTTTTACTATCCTTTAACTTCAAGAAACTCTTTAATAGTTTTCCTTTGAGTTTGTGAGCTCTTTTCTATGGGGTTCTGAAGGGTCACTGTATTCTGTATGCAGGAACTAATTGAATACATTTCATCTCCAGGTTGTGAGAAAGTGAGTAAGTACTGTTTAATGAGATGCTTTTAAGAAATGAATTTATGGTGCTAATTGTGACAGACATGCTAGCACACTGAGTCCCTTAAGACTCGTGTCTTTCCCTCACTACCTTCTAGAACAAAATGCTGTGGTGATCATGTTTCTGGATGACAGTGGCCTGTTTACCAGAGTGGACGCTTTCCTTTCCTCACCCAAAACTTAGTCACAAAGTAGCCAGATTTCTGGAACCATTCAGCATTGTTGATTTTAGCTAGTAAAAACTGCTTTCCTTTATATTGTTGCCCTATCTTCCCTTTCCTTAGTGAAAATTCAAATAAAACCTTGAGATAGCTTTAAGTATAAATTCATTTTGTCATCATTTTAAATATTTTTAAGGTATTCTAATTCTTAAAAAATTAAAACATTTCGTCTAACTTTTTTTTTTGGTTGTTGTTGAATAGAGCTTTGTGTATATTGGAAAGTACTCTAACACTGAAGTATATTCTTGAAATATTTTAAGCTACTAAAAATTATTTTTTCTCTTTTCTCCATGTCCTTCCTTTCTTTAGTTGGATAAGTATTTTATTCTAGTTGTCTCATTTTTTTCTGATTGTGCTGACTGAACTTCATTAGTTGAACAACCTTTCTACAAGGATTTGCAGCTTTGGGATCCTTTTTAGGGGCCATATTGCATATAGCTGATTTCCATTTATCCTTGGTGGCCAAGAAAGTTAGCAAGGATTTTTTCATAGAGTCCTAGTGAAATCTAGTTGTGGCTAAAATAATTTGCATGTACTCTGGACCTTTTATTCTACAGTTTCTGCTTTGCTTCTGTTGTATACTGGATCCTGAATCACTGCTTTTTCTTTTCCATAATTTCCCTTATTGGTTTCTTCCCTTTGCATGTACTTCTGGTGGTTCTGATGTTGGTTTCTTTCTGTTCTTTTCTTGTTCATCCTTGTAAAAATTCCTATTTGTGGCCATCTGGTGAATTTCTTGTTTGGAGAACTGTTTCAGGGAACTGGGATTGTGCTCAAATTCTTTCTGTTGTTATTTTGTCAAGTAAAAGAGGACCAAAGTAGAGCCAAGTAACATACAGTATAGCCACAGAATTTACTTGAAGTACAAATATATGCATAGAGTGTTAGAACCAAGAGTGGAAGAGGAACCATGTCAATCATACAGATTTCGTCTAGTTTTTTTGGAAATGAGAAAACTGAGAGCAAAATTAGGGAAGTGACTTGCCCAAAGACATCTTCTGATGATATAAATATTAAAAAAGTGATGTGCTTAAATGACTGACAAGGGAACAGAATTTCAGTGATAAAGCTAGGAATGAAGCTGAAAGGTAGCTGTTAAATTTGTGACAGAAAAGTGAACACATCTAGTCAGATTTTATTTTAGATCTTTGATCTGTAGTCTTCAGGCATCTGTTTGCTTTGAACTCTGGCACAGGCTCCATGGGTGATGTCACACTTTTACTTCAAGTCTCACTGGAATCACCCCACAAGGAAAGTACCTTTCCATAATATTTGTTTCTCATCCCAAGACTATTAAATTGGTCTTTTTCTCCTCTCCTTTTTTTTTTTTATCTCCTTCCTCATCGCCCCCCCACCCCAAATTTACTTAGAGAGGGAAAGTAGAATAATACTCTATATAAATGGATATTTAGTAGGAATGGAAAAGAATAGCTACGATTATAACTAATTATATGTGCCTTTTCTCAACTGTCCTGAGATGAATATTATTTTTTTCAATAAGTAGTTACTTAGACACTAGTAACCACTGTACAAATAACTAATAAGGGTTGAATGAAGGGTGGATAAACTCTAGTCTTAAGTACTGGATTCCCACTCCAACTGTTGCTCTTGGAGAGAGCTCGCCCACACAGTACCTCTCCAGATGTATTGTGCAGTAGGTGGGTCAGGAGTATGACCCAGTTGAGAGGAGAGAACACCTGGAGCCAATCACAGGTGTGAAAGCATAGGATAGTGTTGACCCAGTTTTCGGACTGACAGTGGAATGATGGGGCAGGTGTACATTTTGACATGAGTCCCTTCCAGCATCTGGGAAGTGTTGAAAGATTCCAGTACTCCCTACCTCAGTCTACCTCTTTTAGCATCCCTTCTTCTGTCTCTCTCTCCTGACCCTCTCTTCTTTCTCCATGTGCTAGGAGCTGGGTATTAAGAGTATTAGAATCTTAGTCATTTGCTTTATTCCTTACGTTGTTTTTAACCTGACACCTTCTCCTTCCATGTTCCCTTGTGTCTAGAGGCTCCCCCCAGCCGTCATTATTGTTTTAGGATGGGATGTGCTGTGGTTGGGTGGCAGTATAGGGAGTTAGGGTTCTGATGTAGATGTTAACATCCAGTCTCCTTGTTTTTTTTAAAATTTATTATTATTATTATTATTTTTGCCAGTCCTAGGGCTTGAACTCAGGGCCTGGGCACTGTCCCTGAGCTTCTTTTTGTTCAAGGCTAGCACTCTACTACCTGAGCCACAGCGCCACTTCTGGCCTTTTCTGTTTATGTGTTACTGAGGAATCTAACTCAGGGCTTTATGCATGTTAGCTAGGCAAGCACTCTACCACTGAGCCACATTCCCAGCCCCCAGTCTCCTTGTTTTTAAGTTCAGAATGGTCTGTGTACCTTTAGAAACTTGTCACTAGCTGCTGAGTCCTCCTGGGCTTCTGGCTGGCTTAGTGGCTTGCTTCCACAGATGCCTCTCCACCAGCTTCGTATATCCCTGTCTGTCATTTACCACTGCTTTCCAACTGGCCTTTCACATGTCTTCTGCTTTCAGCAATGATAGAGTGCTTCAATTTCCCTTCATTGTCATTTTGAGGTGAATCTTGAAGGGAAAAGGGGAAAGAGTCTTGTTCTTCATCTTTGGTACCTAGTGAGATTTTCTCCCTGACTCCTTAGTAAGCTTTTCTTAGTCTATTAAAGAGAGTGAGACACTTGAGGAAGCCAATGTGCGAGTAAAAAGTCATCAGTACTAGTGGTAGTCATTAGCGCATTTGGAAATATAGCAATCTGGCTGTCCAGGTGAGTGCTGGGGTCAGGGAGAGGAGCCCCCAGGAGGATCTTTAGCTTTGGAGACTTGTAATGTTGACTCGGAATTCTGATTTTGGAGGAACTGTTGAAATTTGCCTGTGACATGTTATAAAAGTTGGCAATTGGCCTGAATTCCTATATAATAAATGCTTTTGTTAGCTAATTCCCCTTGGAAATTGGCAGGATCAGTTCAAGAGCTTCACTGATAAGATACATGCTAATAGATGTTAACTTAAATGGCTGTGGAGTCTTGTAGCCCTCGGAATGGCATAAATTGTCCCGTTCAAAGAAATGCTGAAGAAGAAAGTGGTGAGGTAGAAGCATGAACATCTGAAGATGTAGAACCCCTATTTTATCAGGTTGTCATCAGGAAATGTGAAAAAAGTGAAACTATTTTTGTATTTCATACATTTTATAAGTAGCTGTATATTGTGGTGCAACAGTGTTTGAAAATGTCTACTTTGGTGTGATTTCAGTGAGGAGGACATATACCGTGCTGCAGATGAAATAGAAAAGGAGAAAGAATTACTTATTCATGAAAGAGGGGCATCAGGTATGTTTCCTGTTTCATTTATAGAGTTCTTACTATTTATAGTAGAAAACAGTTAAGTCAGTTTGTTCGCTTTCATAAAATGGGCATGTACTTCCTTGGATATATTCTTGTATGAAAAGCTTTAAATACGCCCAATGTTTATTTTACCCGTTTGTTTTTCCTAAAGTTTTACAATTTTAATGCAAGTATTCTGTCTGCATTCTTTGCATTCATATTTTTTTACTTGTGAGAATTGCTTTTATCTCGTAGTTACCCTGTCTCAGCTCATTTCTTGACATTCGTAGGAGAGTTTGACTTTGAAATGCATTTTCCATTTCCAGTGAAAAGACCAAGAAGCTGGCTATACACATCCATGACAATTAATTGCCTAAAAAACAATAATCATGGGACTGAAAGCACAATCCACATTTTATGGTTACAAGTCATCTGTGCTTCTCTGTCTGGCCTGCTCTTGTCACTTCTGGTAGGGCCCATCATTGGGTAAACTATTCTCTTGGCCTCCTCTGGTCCATGGAGACTTGTCTAGCAGAGTTACAGGTGAAGCAAATCCTTTCTTCTCTGGGAGGCCTCAGGCAGAAGCCAAGGATGGAGCTCCCCAACATAACTCACAAGTGACATTTCATTACCTGTGTCATTTATGTCTTCTGCTGGTTTGTTTTCAGCATTGGCTTCTGCTTACTTTATGGTTAACAAAAGCATTTTCACTATAATTGGGATATAGGTGTCGCATAGGACATTTGATTATTTCGGAGTCTTTCTTAAAAGTTTGTGAACGTTTCTCTTTGGTAGCCAGTGTAGGTGTCTTTGTAGTGGTTCTGGAGAGGTGCTGGGGCTCACTGTCCAGTCCTCCATGGAATTTCAGAGGATGCTCTGCTGTGTTGCTCAAATCATCCATGTTAGCCTATTTCTTTTCTTTTTTTTTTTTTGGGGGGGGGTCCGGTCCTGGGGCCTGAACTCTGGGCCTGGGCGCTGTCCCTCAGCTCTTCTGCTCAAGGCTAGCGCTCTACCACTTGAGCCACAGCACCACTTCCGGCTTTTTTCTTATGTGGTGCTGAGGAATCGAACCCAGGGCCTCAGGCATGCAAGGCAAGCGCTCTACCACTGAGCCACCTTCCCAGCCCCTGTTAGCCTATTTCTAAGGAGAATGTATGTAGTCGTTTTTTGTTATTGCTGCGAGTCCTCCTGCTTTCTCCTCTACTTTCTAGGTTTTGTTGTGTTTCTCTTTTGCCCAGTATTGTACTCCACACAGATTGCCAACTTTTTCAATGAGTCTTGTAATTTCTAGCTTTAGTCTGAGAGTAAAATTAACCCTTTTACTCTCCTTGTTCTCAGTCCAAGTTCATTGCCTTCCTGAAGTAATATCCTTTAACAGTGTTCACTCTCCAAATCAGAGGCCAGACGGACACAGAAAGTGTTCTCACCTTATTTGTTGGTGACAGTCTTTTTTATCTACCCCAGGAGTCAGCAGTCTGTGGCTTCCAGGTCACATCCGACCTGCCATCTGGGTCTTTCAACTCAGGGCTTTGTGCTTGCTAGTCAGGCACTGTGTTGCTGAACCACACTTCTATCCTTTTTTTTGCACTGGTTATTTTTGAGATAGAGGACCACTTCCTGACTGAGCATGCACTCAGATCTTGCTACTGCTGTATTCACTTCTGGCCATTACTGGGACAACAGGCAGGCACTGTCAGCCAAGCTCCCTCTATCGAGGTGAAGTCTCTTAGACTTTTCTGCCTGGCTGGCCTGAAAAGGCAGTCCTCCCTTTCTTAGGCTCATGCATAGCTTGGGTGATAGATGCAGACAAGTGCATCCAGCTTTTGGGAGAGAAGGGATCTCATAACTTCTTTGCTGTGCTTGAACTTGGATTGCCTTGAACTGCAGTCCTTTGAACTTTAGCCTTCCAAATAGCTAGGGTTACAGGCCACTGGTGCCTAGTTGATAATTTTTTAGTGTATGAATTTTTTAGTTTACATAGCGTTTTTGATGGTAGAGTGAAGTTGAGTAGCTGTGACAGTAGTTCACCTCCCTCAAAGCCTAAATTATTTCTTAACTGACTTATTACAGAAATGTTTTATATTCCTATCTTAGTCCATCCCCTGAGAGTCTGAACATCTTAAGTGGGGTTTCCCTTTTAATTTCTCACCCCTGAGGGTCTGATTCTTACTTTTCTTACTCATGTGGTGGTTAAGTACCAAACCACTTGGTTATTTCAGCTCCTTCCTACCACTTGGGGTTTCAACTTCCCTTATTTATTTTTATTTTTTTTTTGCCAGTAGAAATACACTTTTCTGCAGACAGTGATGATAGACAGGCAAAAGGTAAAAAAGGGACCGTTGTACTTCGTGCTCAGTGGGCTGATTCTGTACCTCCAGCTCCTTGTCCCTGCATAGGGCATGTGTTAGTTGTTGGAGTCCTCCTTCCAGAAAATTATGGCAAAATGGATTCAAGTAATCCTTGGTGCTGTCAGCTACGCAAGTACCCGTTTTCCTAACCTACTCTCCTCCCACAGGCCCCTGATGTAGCATGGAACTGGGGCCTGTGGCTTGGCCTCTTGCCCACGTGAGGCCCTAGGCCTCCTCCCCTCCATCCTGAGGTGGTGGGCCTGGCCAGCTCTGTACAGGGGCCAGGCCTGTCTTGGTGTAGTGAGAGTGAGGACAGCAGGAAAGGAGGCTTCCTGTGCCACAAGTGTGTTTTCTTTTTAGGCTCATACCCCTGCCTGGTGGGAACATAAGGCCCAGAAAGGTTCTGTGCCTTGCAGTTCTTCCTGCTTTGCTGGGAGGTGAGTGGAAAAGCAGATGTTGTCCCCTTCGTACAGGAATGAGATCGTGTTCTTGTGCTAAGAAGACAGTCAAAAAGTATATCTTGAATTTAAGAGTTGCAGAGTCTTTTCTGAAGGTTTGGCTGTGTGGCATTGGCTTTCGTGTTCTCTGTATATTATATCTTAGGGCCATTTTTACCTCTAAAGTAACCCTGATGTATGCCACAGATAAATGTATCTATAGTGCTGTATATATGTTATTTTCCCTCTATGTAAAAGGTTGATTTTTCTCTATGAAAGGACTCATACTGATATTTGAAAGAAAAAAAAAGTTCTTAATAGTTACTTAAAAAGATTTAATTGTCCTATATTGCAGTTATTGTAGAGAGAGTTTTGTGCTGCTTAGTCATCCTGGTATTGATCACACTCTCTGTGGTCTTTTCTTCTTCAGTAGTCTGTAATTCTTTTTAGGACAGAATCTGTTTTTGTTGCCTTTTTCTCTTTTGTTCCTGGATCAGTGTTTGGCATATATTATACACTCAGTAAATATTTGTTAAATAGAGCTAAATGAAACACTTGTTTTATGTGTAACTTACCTCAGGGATAAATACATTGTGAGATACTTTAAGGCTTATGTCCTAAATCACTAACATATACATCTTCACCAGTTTTGAAAAAAAAGTCAAGGTGTACCTGAGAATGTATCTCATTTTCTTCCTGAAACACACACATGCTGTCATATGCATGATCATATCTACACTTCTGTCTTGTCACAGACCAAACCCCAAACTTCATGCTTTAAACAAAGAAAATCTGAATTTTTTTAGCCCTGTAATATTTGCATGATCATGAGTAGTAATCCTAATTTGAGGTCATGAATCAAATGAGGTTGGTGGATCAACTGACAGTGAGTGCTCCATTATTTTCTCCATTAGTTTATTGTCAACAAGTTACAGTTTTAAGGCACCAAAGCAGCATATAAATAAGCACAGACAATTAATTATGTGTAATTTTTATTATATGTGCTATCTTTTTTATAATGGATATGAAAAACTAATTCAAGCTGTAGAAGTATTTTCTGTTGTTCAGACTGTTGAGTCTCTGATTAGGAAAATGTTCACAGAAGCCTGTGGGTCAGTGCATTTTCAGACATTGAGTAAGGATGCATCTGAGAAACAAAATAATCCTACTGTCAAGGAGCTCATTTTTTTTTTTTTTTTTTAGTTCACTGTGTAGAGGTTAGAGAAAAAGAAATATGGCAAGTATTGATAAGCATTAAGAAAAAATCAGAATGGCATATGATGAGAGCAAAGAGGTGTATATGATATTATGATGTAGGGCATCAGAAGACAGAGGCTGCAGGGAGCTGCCCTGCAGGGATGGGACAGAGGTTGGCAGGGGTGTTGCAGAGCATCTGGGGAGCTACAAGTAGGATAGGCGCACACTGAATGTGGGGAGCAATGGGAGCTGATCCAGAGGGGTAGTTGGGGCCTTTAGGGGTTTTCATGAGTCAGGGCATGTCTTTCTTGCAAATGAAGGTGAGACGGAAAACTCTCCGAGCTCTCTGGACTAGCAACGAGGACTGTTACCCAATGAGTCCTGTTCTAGGTGGGCAACTCTGGCTAGCTACCAGGTGGAGGATGGACTGGATGGTGTGATGACAAGGGAGACCCTTTGAGAGACTGCCATGGCTATCTGGTGATGGCCTGGACTAGAGGCACAGGCAGTGGTGGAATTCTGGATTTTTAAAAATGAAGTCAGAGAGAAAGTAAGGAGTGACAGGTGACCTTCATGTAAAGCAATACTGTTGTTTTGGTTATTCTTTGTTTCATTCTTTGTTTCTTGTTTTGATTCTTTGACAGAACTCAGATTAAGCGTGGCTCCTGAGATGGACATCATGGACTACTGTAAAAAGGAGTGGAGGGGAAACACTCAAAAAGCAATATGTATGAAAAAGGTACAGCAGAGGAGCACATATTTTAGGTCTTTCAAATAGTTGGTTATAACTTATATTTTTAGATATTGGTTAAGGCAACTGCTATTAGACTTGGTGAATATTGATGTTCTAATTTTAGCGATGAGGACACATTTCCCAAGGTAAGGACTTATTTAGGTCATAGTCCTAATATAGAACTGGCATCAGTATTTTAGAAACTTAATTTCTTTGAAAAACACAACTAAGTGATTCAGACTTGGGACCTCCATTGATGGTTGTCTTGGGCTGTTGTGAATGCTCTTTTTTTTGGATCACAAAGTGATTTTTCTTCTGTTGTTATTGTAAAGGTGATGTACAGAAGATTTACCGTTACATAAGTCAGATAATGAGTATATGTCTTTTTGAGCAGTGTCACCTCTTCCCTTGCCTTTTCCCAGTTTTTCCTTCTCAGCCGCCCTCCCCCCAGCCCAGGTTGTAGAGTTCATTTTTAACATAGTGTCTAACTATTGCATTTGTTCACCCTTTTTCCCACCATTTCTATGTTCCTCCCTTCCCTCCCCAAGATAGATAAATTATATGACAAAGGTATTGAAAACAAAAACAGTGTCAAAGGAGAAAGGAAAACAAAAAACAAAATAACAAAATCCTCTTGATTCCATTTCGTAGAGTTCATTTCAATAAATATCATTTTATATGAGCATAGCTCTTGAGCTTTTATGATCCTCTCCTAAGAATATCCTCCTTGGGTCTCACTGTGTCCAAGTATATAGTTTTGTCTATTACCATTCAGTGTATTTACCTGTAGATTTATAGGCACTTTCTAGTTACAACAAATGAGGGAAACCATGTAACCTATGTTTCTTTGGGTCTGGCTTACTTTGCTTAATATAATTTTTTCTAGATCTTTCCATTTCCTCATGAATGGTACAGTATCATTCTTTCTGATGGAAGAGTAGAGTTCCATTGTGTATATATACCATGTTTTCTTGATCCATTCATCCATTTAGGGGCATCTGGGTTGATTCCATATCTTAGCTATTGTAAACAATGCTGTAATGACTATGGTAGCTTTAGTGTGGCTTTCTTTGTGGTTTATGGGATAAATGCTCAGAAGTGGGATTGCTGGGTCCTAGGGAAGCTCTATGTTTAGCTCTATGTTTACTGCTTTCCAGAGTGATTAAGTAGGTTTACATTCCTACCAAAAGTGTAGTAGTGTTCCCCTTTGGCCAGTCCCCACCAGCATTTTCTTATTGTTAGTTTTCTTGATAATGGTCATTCTAACTGGGGTGAAGTGGAATCTCAGTGTTGTTTTGATTTGCACTTCTGTTATTGCCAGAGATGTTGAACATCTCTTCATGTGTCTGTTGGCCGTTCTTATTTTCTTCTTCAGAGAAGTCTCTCTTTAATTTTGTTCTCTCTCTTTAATTCTTTAGCCCTCTATTAATTGTGTTATTGTTTCGTTGAGGGTTTATTTTGGGAAGGTTTAATTTTTTAACCTGTAAGTATATTTTTGAGGCCCTTGTCTGATGCATAGCTAGTAAAGATCTTCTGCCATTTTGTGGGTTTTCTGTTTATCTTGCTAGATATGTTGTTTGCCATACAGAAACTCTTCAGTTTGATACAGTCCCATTTATCCTGTCTTCTTTGATTTGTTGTAATTCTGGATCATTTCTTAGGAAGTTTCGACCCATGCCTAGTAGCCCTGGTGTTTCCCCTACCCCTTCCTGTAATATTTTCATGGTATCTGGCCTTACATTGAAGTCTTTGATCCATTTAGATTTAATTTGGATGCAAGGTGATATAAGGATCTAGCTTAAGTTTTCTGTATAGCCAGTTCTGCCAGCACCATTTGTTGAAGAGGCTTTCTTCTAATCTGTGCTTTTGGCTCCCTTATCAAGTATTAGGTGGCCATAGGTCTGTGGGTTCATTTCTGGGTTTTCTGTTCTGTTCTATTGGTCCTCAGTACCATACTAGTGCCAGTACCAAGCTGTATCTACATGTTCACCTTCCACAGAAATGCTTCCTCTGACCTATAATTCTATTTTATGGCCCAATCTTCTTCAAAGAATCTATTTTAACTGTTGTCATCTTGAAGTCCTTTACTGAAGATGTCTGAGTTACCTAAACATTTTGTAATTTGAAAGTCATGTTAAAATCATTCCTGTATGGGATTAGTTTAATGCCAGGGGAAAAAAAGATTTGACTAGCAGTTGACCTCTTTTCAATGATAAGTCAAAGTACTTCATTGAGGCATATTTTGTTAAGATCTGTGGCATAATCAGAGTATCTTGGATGTCTACTAATAGTTTAGATCTTGACTTTATAGTAGTCTTTTATTTGTCTCATTGTCTGTTTTTTGTTTGGGTTAATGAATGTGAATTCAACTATAATTTTAGAAAGTGTGTCTCCTCTTTGAAATTGTACAAGTAATTTATGCAATTAGAAGGTGCAGTTGGATAATTAGTGGTAACTAGGGATAGCTAGGGGTCCCCCTGAGGGAGCAGGTACCTACTAGTAGGTGTGAACCTGTGTGGTGGTCCTTTATATATTACAGTGACAAACCCTTATATGTTAGTATGGTTTGACCATTAAATGCAAATGCAATTTTAAGGCTTTTATTACGAGAAAGAAGTACTTTCATACTCACATAAAACATCATTGAATGACACAGACTTTGAGAATGACGAGTAATGAGATTCCAGTATGCAAACACTCAGGATAAGATGTGCATTGTTCTTGCTTCTTTCTTTGTATAAGTTTAGGGTGGGGGGTGGATTTTTGAGTCACTGTCAAGGAAGAGTATGACAAGGGAAAGGATTGGCTGATGGGCTGGGGGCAACACAATCAGTACTAATGTGGAAGAGTGCCGCTAGAAAAATCAGGGTAGCACTCATGATCATGAACAAAGATACTAGAATTTGAGGGACCAGACATATCACTGACCATTTGTATCTTATTGTTTTACTTCCAGACAGAGCAGAAGTGACACTTTAATCCACTTAAAGTCTAACAGAAGTATCTAGACATTTCCTAGCAGTAGACTTTGATATACACATACACAGGTATGTGCCCCATATGTGTTTTGATAAACAGTAAATCACGTATACAATTGCCTCTAACATTGTGATGGGCTGAAAAATTCCCAACCTCCAGGGATATAGCCATTGTACATTGTAATGCAACACATTGTTCAGACATTTGTAGTGATGCTGCTGTGAACAAACATCATATAAAAATGTAGCACATACAGTTAGATATAATCTATAATACTTGGTAACGAAAGCTACATTAGTTACTTATATATTGGTGTCTACTATAAAACGATATGCCACATTACTGTAGCAGTAGCCTCATACATCTCAGTTGTGGGGCTTGACCTCAGAGCCTGGGTGCTGTCCCTTAGTCCCTGAGCTTTTTCACTCAAGCTTTTTTTTTTCTACCACTTTGAGCCACAGCTCCACTTCAGTTTCCTCATGATTAATTGGAGATAAGAGTCTCATGGACTTTATTGCCCTGGCTGGCTTTCAATTGTGATCTTCAGATCTTAACCTTTTGAGTAGTTAGGATGACAAGCTTGAGCCACTGGTGCCCAGCTTTTACGGCATATTTTGACTGGATAATTTTCTCTTGTGCTTAATTTAATCTCATCCTTTTTTTCATGATGGCTGTTGAACATGCTAAATCTACTGCTAAGGTTTATTAAGAGGTCATGGAGCTTAGGTGTGTTGCAGATCATACCATTTAGGTTTATGTAAGTTCACTCTGATGCTTGCGCAATAATGACATTGCCTCGTGACACATTTGTCAAGAATTGATTACATTGCTAAATGATACGTGATTTCACATAACATACCTTGGAAACTTGGGACTTTGTTTTTTAACGTAGAGATATTAACTTAGTACATCTGTCTCTTTTCATGTTCTCTTACTTGAAAGAATTTAGGACTAAATTTAAACACATTTATTTTACAAAAAATAAGTTTTATTTTGTTGGAATAGTTTTAGATTCACAGCAAAATTGTACACAAAAGGCAAAGTTACCATATTCCAATCTCCAAGTAGATACACTCTCTCTTACTATCTCTGTATCAATATACCAATATTGTGATGCTTCTTAAACACAGAGTAAACCTTTCAAAATGGTAACAGTGACTATTTCCACAGTTGCTTACAAGTAACATGACTCTGACTTTGGGGATGACTAGTGACTTGAATATTTGATTATTTTGTATGTTAGGTTTATCTTATCTGTTGCATATGCAGACACCTTATACATTACTTTCATTTTAAGAGGAGTGGAGTAATAGGAAATTATTGGAATGTTTTATATGAAAGACTCAGCCAGCTATTGTGTTCCAGTGGTCTGAGGGAAATTTTTCCACAAGACCAGAACTCCCCTTGATATTGGAAGCCAGTAACAACTATTTTCAATTCTTTGATCCTTCTTCCAGGGCTATGAGGAAGTTTCTCAGAAGTTCACCTCCATCAGGAGAGTCCGTGGTGATAACTACTGTGCACTGAGGGCCACACTCTTCCAGGCTATGAGCCAGCTGGCAGAGCTGCCCCCGTGGCTGCAGGACCCAGAGCTCACACTGGTATGTGGTTGCTTCATGTTCTCAAAGTTCTTGTGAGAAGACTCCCACTTTCTGCTCATTCTGGCTGATGATATATCTGCAGTGTGAGGTCAACACCTAGGTTCTGTGTATCCAGGCTGATGTCACATAGTGAACTGATCAGAAATCATTAGTATTTTCCAGAAGAAATTAGTCATAAAACTGTTTAGCATTCACTAAAGTGCTTATTAACAGTTTTAGTTCAGTGATGACATTTCTGTAAGTGAGCTATAATTTACTCTCTAAGGACCTGCCAGGGATTTAGGGTACACTTTTCTTTGGTCTTAGCGATGTTCCAAAAATTAGAACCCTGTCTTTGGTGTGACGGTGTGATAAAAAGCACTCCTGAAATAATTGCGTCTGAAAATGAAGACACTGAACTAGCCTGGGTAGAGGCCACACTGAGCACTGCCTCTTTCCTCAGAAGCAGTGCTTGTGTGACTGAGATGACTCCTTTCATTTTTGGAGTAGTTAAAGGGGCTGAGGTATTGACCTAGATGTAGAAAACTGTCAAAAGAAACTTGCTGACCAAGCCACATGTGTCCAGGGTTCAAAACCAAGACTGGGCACAGGATACTGCCTATCTAGTTCATGATTTTTAAAATTTTAATTCCAATCCTGGGGTTTGAACTCAGGGCCTGGGTGCTGTCCCTGTGATTTTTTTGCTCTTGAGCTGCAGTTCCATTTCTGACCTTTTGGTGGTTAATTGGAGATAAGAGTTTCATGGTCTTTTCTCCTCTGGCTGGCTTGAAACTCTGATCACTAGATCTCAGCCTCCTGAGCAGCTAGGATTACAGGTATGAGCCACCTATGTCTGACTTTTGTGATGATCTATGTTATAAGCCAGGAAAGTCAGCACACCTGTATGAATGATCAAAATTAACAATCTATTTATCATAAGCAGACTTTAAATATTTGATTATTTCTTTGACATGGACATTTAAAAATTATATATATATATAAAATGAAATATTTCAGAATTGTCGGTCAGTTGGCAAAAGTATACCTCATTCATGGATAAGAGACTAGGAAAGCAAATGAAGATTTCACTGTTTTTGTGCTAAACTTCTCTGCTGGATGACTGTGGCTTAATTTATAGATTATGACATAATTGCTCAATTTTAGACAAAGTTTCTTCTCTTCTTCTTGCCTCCCTTTCTTTCTTTTTTCTTTTTCTTTGTGGTACAGGAGAGACCCAGGATCTTTGCACATACTGTATGCTTGAGCCATGCATCTAGTCCCCAGTTTTCTTTTGGAGCTTTTCACTACTAAGGGGCTATTTAAATTTATGGATTCACTTGACGTTGAATTTGAATTTTTATTCTTTCAAAGAGCTTCTGGTGCAAGTAGTATCCTGAGTAATCAAACAAAAACACACTCTAAAATAGCATAATTCTCTTTCTGGTAACAGGGTACACTTGGATACCATCATCTACAATGTTGCAAGTAGGTCTGGTAGATTGCCTTTGGCCTGGGTTCAGTGTTAGAATGTGTTGCATATGTGAATGATGGAGCCCTGATGTGGTTTTCCTGACTTCATTCAAGTCATGTGGAAAAGTTTTAAAATTCCTAAATGTTCTTTCTAGTTTTTCATGTGGAAAAGTTTTAAAATTCCTAAATGTTCTTTCTTGTTTTCTCCTTTTTTTTCTTGTTGGTTCTTCCCCCTTTAATCTATGCTTTATTGAATGGCAAGAGGCCTGTGCCAGAGAAGAAAAGTATTATACATATTTATGAATTCTATATTTATGTTTATAAAATTTTAGTTCTACTGAATGTCTTCCAAAGAAATGATTTCTTGTTCTAATCCACCGCGAGGACTTGTCCTTGTGTTGATGTGCCAATCTCCAGACACTTAAACTTGCATTGAATGTTTTCTTGATAACATTTTGCCTTTCTTTTCAGTACAGGGCTTTGAACTCAGGGTTTTGAGCTTGCAAAGTAGACATTTTTCTGCTTGAACTCTGCCTTCAGCCCTTTTTACTCTGGTAATTTTTGGGATAGGATCTCACTTTTTGCCTGAACTGCATCCTCCTGTTTATGATTCCCACCATAGCTAGGATGACAGGGATGTACCACCATGCTCAGCTGTTGATTGAGATGGGGGTTGTATGAACTTTGTTCCCAGTCTGACCTTGAACTGCATTCCTCCCAATCTCTGTCTCTCAAGTAACTAGTATTGTAGACATGAGTCACTCTACATATTTTGTTTCATTGGCTCATTCATTCCTGAGGTAACAGATTCACCACAGCTTTACATTTGAGGTGCCAGGGAAGGAAAGGATATGCGAAAGTAGTCTGTTGCACGTGACAAGCTGCCCTTTAGCCTCTTCTAGTCATCCCTCAGACCCTCTGGTGGCACTTGCCATTTCTGTCCTCCCCTCCACCAGCTCTTCTCTTGGGAAGTCCATGCTAACATGAGTGTCATTGAGTGGAAAGGTGTGCATGGCAGTGTGATTGCAAGAAGTCAGGGGCGGAATCTGTGGCTCACTATATCTGCTGTCAGATGAAGACTGAACGATGTTCTCTCAGAACTCGATGTGTGGCTCAAGTGGTAAGGTGCCAGTCATCAGCAAGAAGGTCAAGCAAGAGAGCAAGTCCCTGAATTCAAGTCCCAGTACTGACATACACACGCATGTACAAATACACACACATGCACTCAAGCGTACACACAAAATGTTCTCTGTCGTGTTTTGCGATTCCTCTCTCTTAGACCAAACTTGGTTTCAGGATATTAAAGAGAAACAGGATAGCTAAAGCGACCAAATATGAGTTCAGTGGGAGTCTGGAGTTCATTTCTGCTGGCGTTCAGCTTCTCTAGCCTCTCTCTCTTCCCTGCCTGAGTTGAATTTTATCCTCCTGCCTCAGGTGTTGCCGCATCTCCTGTCCTTTTCTGAACTTCCTGTTTTTCCTATTTCTGTTCAGATCCCAATCTGTGTTTAACTGAAGTCAGATCATCTGAACCTGACCCCAGCCTTGGAGATGGTCTAGCTATCCTTACACTAGGAAGCACCCTGCTTTCGAGAAGGGGCGTCTTTCATAGTAGAGGTGCTTTGGTTTCCACATCCACTACAATTTAGAATGTCTCTGAGTGGGTGAGACCTGTGGCAGTGTTCATTAGAGAAGATTCTGAAGATCATTTGTGAGTTTATTTTGGGTGAATGACACATTTTAGCCATTTGGTATCTGTCATGCTGCCAAGAATTATAGGCATTTACTAGAGTAGAAAACAATCTGTTCTATAGTGACAAATGAAATGATAGGGCTATTTGCTGTATTCTTAAATATTTATAGTCTTTGTTCTCAGTTGATATCTGTCTCTTATTCTCCCAGAAGTCCCATTTCTGCCTAGTAGAAAAGAATGACTGTATGCTCTCATATGACTCCTGAGAGCATTTAAAGCTAAATTCACTTATTTCTTCTGGAAAAATAAATTTCAATTTCATTTTTGTTTCCTAATGGCTTCTTTTTCATGTCTCATTTTTTGGACTTTTGACACCTGGAATTTTCACAACTCTGAACTGGTTAATCACTCCAGTACAATTGACCAGTGAGTGAGTGAAAGGAATGAGGAAACTGATTTTGTTTCCATCTGTATGGTTAAGTCTTTGGGCACCCCAAAATAATTCAGTTGACGGTTGTACTGTATTTTGGATTCCTGGTCAATGTCACAGGATGCTAGCCAGGCTCCCTTTACCTCCTTTCTCAACTCACATCTTCCAGGCCAGTATTTTCTACCTAATTGTAGTTCCGGGAGCCCAGTTGTAATTTTACATTGTTGCCACTTGAGGGCACCCCAGGTTCTGGTGATGAATCTGAGGGTTTGGTGGGGGTGCCTGTTTGCAGGTTGCTGGAGGGCAGGACAGTATGAGCATTGAGCTGGACTGTGACAGCTCTTAGGTGAGTGGTCATTCCTCAGTGTAAACAAATGACAAGCACTTGACTCTCGAAGTTAGTGAGTGAGGTAGATGTAGATGGCCATCACTGTACCATAAGAAGCAGACTTTACATTCCTAGTGGGCTTCCGTGTTTGACATGATGGCTACAGCTTGAGAAGGCACAGCCAGTATTCCCATTCATGTAAGTGTCTTCAAGTCTTAGATCCAGTAGAAGAGAACATTGGCCACTTTGCTGAACAAGTTTGACATAGAATGTTGGAGGATTTAGTGAATTTTTTTTTCCTTTCTAAATTTTGTAGCAGTAAAGTGATATGTTCATGGCTTCTTTCTTGTCACACTCAGGTCTGAGGAGGAAGTCTTGATTTTCATGTTGTCATTGACAACATTATGCCTCAGGTTGTCCTTCGAACTCCAGATTCTGTTGTTATGTAGGTTGAAGTAAAATATTCCAGAAACTTAAAAAAGAAAGGAAGAGCTGGGAGCCGGTGGCTCACACCTGTCATCCCAGCTACTCAGGAGGCTGAGATATGAGGATCGAGGTTCAAAGCCAGCCTGGGCAGAAAAGCCCGTGAGGCTCTTATCTCCAATAAATAACCACCAGGAAACTGGAAGTGGCACTGTGGCCAAGTGGTAGAGCGTTTGCTTTGAGCTGAAGAGTACAGGGACAGCGCCCAAGCCCAGAGTTCAAGCCCCACGACTGACAAAAAAAAAAAAAAAGGAAAGGAGTTTAGTAGTTTGGTAGTTTAGTAGCTGTCAGTATCTTCTGAACAAGGAGGTATGCTGATTCCACACTTGATCTACAATAATGTTATTTCTTGGAGTGTATGTGTAAGTATTATTTAAAGATCTTTTTCTATGTCTTTCAGTAGGTTTTTTGGAAAAAAACCCCTCTCAGCATTATTATGCTGATAGGAAAGTCTCAGGTATTGGTTTTATTCTGGATGTACTCCAGTGTCCAGAAGTATCTTCCTTAGTTGTGTTTTAGGGAACTAGAGAGCTGCCAGTGAGTGTTGAATCTGGAGCTTGTCCTTTGATTGTTGTGGCTATGGCTGGCATTCTTACAAACTAGACTGTGCCCATATTTATTAGCCCAAGCACCATTCATTATAGCAGCCCTCTGCGTGATAGAGCTCCTTAAGTTCCTGACTTCCAGATTTAGGTCCTCCATCCTAAACTGATGTGACAGACTTGGCAGGAATTAACTCTGGGCACCAGGGTAAAGTTTTACAGACTTTATGTTTGTTTTTCCAGCTTGGATCATGTGATAGGCTTCTTGGAATGTTGACATCTCTTTAATTCTCTATTTCTTGATATTCTAGTTACCCGAAAAACTGATAAGGAAATATAGCTGGATCAAGCAATGGAAATTTGGACTGCAATTTGATGGGAAGAGTGAGGACCTGGTTGAAAAAATTAAGGAGTCCCTTATCCTGCTAAGGACAAAGGTTTGGAATATATAATTTCCATCTGTTATTAGTGCAAAGTTCTGTCTTGATTGTCCCAGCAGACCAGTTTGTAGCCTTTACTGGTAGATAATTTGATGCTCTTTGTTAATTTATTTATTTAAGTTTCTGAGGAAAAGAGATTTATTTATTTTGGTTCACAATTCTGGAAGCAGATTTGTGAGTCAAAATTAATTTTAATTTTTAAAGTGCTTTTGAGTTAGTTGTACAAAGGGGTTTCAGTTGCATCTGTCAGTTTATGAGTACACTTCATACTGATTACTGTCACCCCTTCCATCATTCTCTCTCTCTCTCTCTTTCCCAACCCGACCCAGGCCCTCAAGTTACCTGGTTAGACCATGGGCTTTTGAAGTCCTTCCTAGTATGTGTCCCAGATAGTGCCTTGTCTGCCCCTTTTAGACTTTCAGCTCCCTGAGAGACATCCTGTTTGTTCTTTTCTATCAATGCCTAGCTCCACACCTGGCACATAATAGGCATTCAGCAAATGCTTTGTTGAGCTGAGCAACCAGAGATCCATGACTTCCTTGAACTAAGTTTTTTTTTTAATTTAAATTTAAATTTTATTGTGAAGGTAATGTAAACAGGGGTTACAGTTACATAAGTTGTGAGACTATTTCTTGTCTAATTTGTTACCCCCCTCCCTCATTATCTCCCACTTTCCTTCCCCCCCAGTCCCCCACCAAGTTGTACAGATCATTGTACAGATCATTCCCAACATATGTCTTGTGAGTATCGCTGTTGCATTGGTTTCCCCTTTGTCCTTTGTCTTACCAGTCTGTTGTTCCCCTTTCCTTCCCTAATTCAGATAAACGCATTTACAATACCCAGGCTACCAAAATCAAATACAGTGACAACAGGAGATAAACCATAGCAGGAACAAGAAACACAAAAGAAGAAAAGAAATCACATAGTACATTAAAAACAACAACAACAAAGAAAAACCTCTTGTGTCCATGTCTTTCTTGGAGTTCATTTTGCTTAGCATCATCTTATGTGGTCATATGTATATGGCAATTGAGCTGTTCTGCTCATCTGATAAGATCATCCTAGACGTATAACAAATAAGGGAAACCATGAGACCTTTGTTTCTTTGGGTCTGGCTTACTTCATTTAATATGATTTTTTTCAATCCTTCCATTTCCTTACAAATGGGTTGGTGTCATTCTTTCCGATGGAAGCATAGAATCCCATTGAATGATCTACTACTGAGGGGCATCTGGGTTGGTTCCAAATATTAGCTATGGTAAATAATGCTGTGATGATCATAGTTGTGCTGGTAGCTTCAGTGTGGCCTTGTTTGTGGTCATTTGGGTAAACGTCCAGAAGTGGTCACCACAGATTGGAAGATCTTCACTAGCCATATAACAGACTCTAAGGGCCTCATATCTACAATATACTTAGAACTCAAAAACTTAAATCCCCCAAAAACAAATCCTCAAAGAAACAACTTCTCATTAATAAGTGGGCTAAAGACTTAGAGACTTCTCTGAAGAGGAAATAAAAATGGCCAATAAACACATGAAGAAATGCTCAACTTCTCTGGCCATAAAAGAAATGCAAATCAAAACAACATTGAGATTCTATTTTACCTCAGTTAGAATGGCTGTAATCAAGAACTGTAATAACAACAGATTCTAGAGGGGATATGGGCAGAAGGGAACCCTACTGCATTGTTGGTGGGAGTATAAACTTGTTCAACCACTCTGGAAAGCAGTATGGAGGTTCCTCAAAAGACTAAACATAGAATTTAGTTTATATTACTTACTTGAATATATACTGTTAAAAGAAGTGCAGTGATACTATTTTCCACTAAAAAGGAAAGAGAGAGAAGGGAATGGGCATTTTGTTTTGATTACCCATGTGTGTAGCATGTGTGTTGGGGGGCTCAAGGCCTGTGCTGCCCAATCTCTGGGCTAGTAGAAGCATTAGTGCAGGGTTCTAAGCCTGCACAGCTCTACTTCAGCTAACTCATTATGTGTGTGTGTGGGGGGGGGGGGGAGACAGAAAGGGAGAGAGGAAGAGAAAGAGACATACCAGTTTTCAGTCCAAGTATTGGAGAATGTTCTGTGTTGTCGTTATTTATATTTACTCTTGGTTTTAAAAACATAGTGGGTTTTGAAAGGGACCTTAAACTGTGGTAAGAAGATCTGGTTTTTATCACGTCCCTTTTCTCCTTCACTGTGACTTAAAAGCACATATAATAAAGGTTTTTTGTGTTTATTGAAGTGTTGGTTTATGTAGCTGAAAGCCTGACCCGTTTATTCTGAATTAGTAGTCAGTAAGAATTTCTGAATGGTTTTATTCATTTGAATCTCATGGGTTTTTGTTTGTTTTTTGATGGGACTGAGGTTTGAATTCCAGGGTCTCATGCTTGCTGGGCAGGTCCCGTATTGCATGAATCAAGTAGGGTCTCATATTCTTGTCTGGGCTGGTTTGGACTGTGATTCTCCTATTTACACATCCTGCAGGTGTGCATGACTACACTTAGATGGGGTCTTGTTAATTGTTTGCCTAGGCCAACTAAACTGTGATCCTCCTAGTCTTCATCTCTGAAATAGTTGGGATTGCAGGCATGAGCAACCACTGCCTAGTCTCATGAGTCTAGTAAACTTTAATATTCAGGAACCCCCACAATCTTCCCTGCCTATCTGTCATTTTGGAGGGTTGGCTGTATGTTTCTAGGGTAACTTTTTCCAAAAGTCCCTCAGGTGGTGGAGTGTGATAGTTTCTCCTCAGAGCCCCACACAGTCTTTTTTCCAACTATGTCCAGTTGTCGGGGCCATTCTTGTCTGGGAGGTTGGAGGAGTTGAGATTTCTATTCCATCACTCCAGTGCTTCTCCTTACTGTATCATACTTCTGTTGCAGATTAACAGGGGGAAAGCTGAATAAGAGTTCGTGCAGTCTAAAAGTACCATTGTACAAATCAGAAAGTTAAAATTGTAATCATTGGGATGTGACCTATGGTCCTCTAATTTGAAGAATAGTTTTGTGTACCAGCAGTGTTTAGATCACGAATTCTAATGATTATCTCTCTTGCTATAGTGGGCAGGCCTGGCTGAAATGAGAACTGCTGAAGCAAGGCAGAAAGCTTGTGACGAACTATTCACAAATGAAGAAGAATATAGCCTCTATGAAGCTGTGAAATTCCTAATGCTAAATAGAGCCATTGAACTCTATGATGATAAAGAGAAAGGAAAGGAAGTACCATTTTTCTCTGTGCTTCTGTTTGCTCGGGATACATCGAATGACCCTGGACAGCTGCTGAGGAACCATCTGAACCAGGTGGGCCACACTGGTGGCCTTGAACAGGTGAGTTCTTTGGAGAGTGTATGTAGTACCTCAGACCATGGCAGCTTTTGCCATCAAATGTGGCCTCAGAGCGTCTGTAGATTGGGAATCAGGAGCAGTGTAGTTGGGTGGTTCTGGCCCAGGGTCTCATGGGGCTTGTATGGTGCTGTTTAGGATGATTGTCTTAAGAGTCTGAGAGATTTACTTCATGGCTTTCTCCCCTGGTTGTGGGCAGGAAGCTTACTTCCTCATTGGTAGTTTGGAGGGTTCAGTTCCTCACCTCATGGGCCTCCCCATAGGGCTGTTCAGGTTTCCGTGTTATATGACAGCTAGCTTTTCTCAGAGGGATCCATGAATAGAACAAAGAGGAAGCCACAGTGAGCTCATCTTAGTAATCACATGCTATCACTTATTCTTTGTTCTGTTTGTTAAAACACCGTCTAAATCCATTGCATGCTCAAGGGCAAGGAGATTGAGCATCTTTTCAAGAGAGGAGACACATTCATAGGGTTTTGTTTACCTTGTCAGCTCCAGCTATAGAGGCTGTACTTTTCATGTCTTTATAGATGTGTTGTGCACAGATACCCAGTATAGTACTGGTTCCCATTCCACTCTGCTATTTGTCTCCATAAAGGATCTTTATTATTATTATATTTAAACTTTTATTCTTTTGATGCACCAACCACTAAAGTAACATCAAGGGTACCTTCCTCTTTCTATGACATACTCTTATGAATACCTTTTCCCAGAATGATCCAAGTGCCAGGAAGAGAGAGCCGTCCTGCAGGATGGAAATCTATAGTTTTTCTGAGGCTGTAGGAAAGAGCAGCACTCATTGTCATGATTGGCCAAATAGGATTGATTATGACTAGTTAAAATAATGATCTTTATTCAGAATGTGGATTGTGTCTCCTGAAATAGTCATCCATTCTTGACTGCTTTTTTTTTTTTTGTCCATATATATTAGGGCTGGGCTCAAAAGGGGGCAGTTACAGCCTAACCATTGCCACGTATTGGCTGTGATGATGAATGAATGGATGAATGCTGATATTGAAACATCTTTAAGTTTGGCTTTCCTCAGAATACTTGCTTTTTCTTCCCAGGTTGAAATGTTCCTTCTTGCCTATGCTGTTCGCCACACTATCCAGGTATATCGACTGTCCAAGTACAACACTGAAGAGTTCATCACAGTGTACCCCACCGATGCACCCCAGGACTGGCCAGTGGTCACCCTCATTGCCGAGGATGACCGGCATTATAATGTCCCTGTCAGAGTTTGTGAGGAGACGAGTCTGTGAGAGAGACATCACCTGGACAGCCTCGTGACATGGCAGGGCACACAGGCAGCTCCTTGCTGAGGGCCTTAGACCTGCCGGTGTTGGAAAACAACCTGTGAGAATCCCTGAGCTCCTGGGGGCCAGGTTGGACTGGGGTGTTCTGAAGACTACCTTTTGATAGTAATAATTAACTAAGTCTATCCCCTGGTGTGCCACATGGTGTGTTTCACTGGGGGCCATCAGAGCATATCTATTAGAAGGTGCAAGCTACAGTTCCACAAGTCAAAGATTTTTGTATCAGTGGACACCACTTTTGGATATGTTCATGTCTTGAATCAAAATTCTCTCTAATGCTAAAATGGCTTTTAATTTGTTTTGTAAAAGCAGTAATCTTTTGGTGGTGGTGATGGGTGTCTCTACCAGTCTTCTACGTGATCTGTTTCAGTGGTAGAGTTCTGAGATGGATGTGTTGATAGCATATTCAGGGCATCTTCTGATTGTCTCATCAGAGCAATAATTTGGATTTAGATATTAATACCATCTTAGGCAGATTGTCTCTGAGAAGATGAAGAGTTGGTTCCTCAGGTAGGTTCTTCGAAGGCTGGAGATGCTGCATGAGGGAACAGCAGAGGATCCCAGGCCTTCCTGCTCTGTGTGACCGTGACATGGGTTGGTTTGGTTGGTGATGCCTTGTCAACTTGGAGGAGCTGCTCACAAATGTGTCAGAGTTGATACTTACTCAAAGGCCCCAAAGAGACACAAGCTTAGTTAGAAAAGAGTGTGTATCCACCTGTGATTTTAGAGCTGGAGTCCAAGGCCAAATGAGCTTAGTCACTACTCTCAGCTGAGAGTTGGAGCTGAGCCCCCCAGTCTTCCTGTGCCCTTTTCACCCGGTGTTGCATATGTGTGCAACTTAACCTGGTGATAGGGTGATTAACAGCAGACTGTCTAGACTCTTCCTGAATAAGTTGAAGTGGGAGTATGTAGTAAACACAGTACAGAAGCTGTTGTGCTCCTAATTTGGCTTGAGAAGCCTGAAAGAGACAGCCAACCAGGCCATAAGCACTTGCCTGCATAGCACAGGGCAGTGTGGTGACTGGGTTAGTAGTGGGCAGTTGTGCTAAGCCTGGTCTGCCTTAGGGCTAGTGTTGTTCTTCAGGGACATGGACTTGGTCATTGTTCATGAGAACCGGACACATCACTCTTAAGATTCTGTCAGCAGAACCAGCATTAGCTCAGCTCTGTAGAGCTGATGTTTCCTTGAAGTACTGAGTCTGTTTTATATAATTAAAATATTGGATCCAATTTAAAACACCCAAGCTTATCGTTTATAAGCTGTGTAACCTATTTAGGGGAAGGGACAAACCTTTGAAAATTTATGTTTGCTTTTAATTAAAACTTATGCCTTAGTGAAGAGAACTCAAGATGCAGAACTATTCAGACTGTTACATTAGTATTTCTCCCATTACCTCATCAGTAATGTCTGCCACATTCTGCTAGATGTTTATTGGTCACAGTGTTAGAATCAAATCCTGCTCTAATTGTGTGCACATACATTAGAGAGGCTTTGTGTTTTTCACTGAGAAATACCATGGTGCCTGGAAACCAAATTAAAGTACTGCTAGAGATTTCTTGTTGGCGTTGACACTTCATTTCAGTATTTGTAACAATTCAGCTGGAAATGCTTACCCTTAATTTTGAACAATTTTGAAAGCACAGGTTGAATGTTTAGGTAACACATGGCAGGATGGATCTACTCCCTTAAGGCAGGTTGAATCTGACCATTAGTTCATATCCACTATGATTTTATTTTTTTTGTTGGTCATGGGGCTTGAACTCAGGGCTTGGGTGCTTGAGTTTTTTTTGCTCAAGGCAAGTGTTCTACCACTTTGAGCCACAGCACCACTTCCAGTTTTCTGGTGGTTAATTGGAGATAAGTGTCTCATAGACTTTCCTGCCCAGGCTGGTGATCCTCAGATCTCAGCCTCCTGAGTAGCTAGAATTATAGGTATGAGCCACCGGCGCCTGGCTTTCCACTATGATTTTTAATAGTACTCATGACTGTCTGCATTTAAAAATTATTTAGCCTTAGTGCACTTGAACTGGACTTTGGGGCAGCCTAATTTCATACATTTTTATTGTTTCTGTGTGGAATATCGTTCCTTTCATGATGCACGATACTGCATCATGATCCCTGTGACTAGTAGGCCTTTTCAGAACCTGCTCTCCTCCTCCCTGAGCCCCATAAACTTCAAAAACAAAAAACTGAAAACCCATGGTCAAGCTACCTTCTTACCTCATTAAAATTTTTTTTTTTTCTGGTCATGGGGCTTGAACTCTGGGCCTGGGTGTTGTCCCTGAGCTCTTCAGCTCAAGGCTAGTGCTCTACTACTTGAGCCACAGTGCCACTTCTGGTTTTCTGGTGGTTAATTGCAGATGAAAGTCTCAGCTTTGAACCACAATCTTCAGATCTCAGCCTCCTGAGTAGTTAGGATTACAGGTGTGAGTCACATGTGCCTGGATCTTATTTACTTTCTAGAAGCATAAATCACTGAGGAATTTTGCTTTTAGATATGCACAAAAATAAATATTTTTATTTAATATTTGTGACTACCAGAAAAAAAACAAAACCTTCAGAGTGTGTAAAGTGAATCTGAAAGTGCATGAAACACACAGAATCCCCAAGATCGTTTAGCACAATATCAGTTATTTATCTAAAGAGCTGAGAATGACCTCAAGATGACTTTAGAATAAACTTTAAAGCATAAAACAATAGAAGCTCAACAGACTTTCCATGCTTAAGTTATAAAGCATACAAATGTGAATGGGAAGAATTGTGGGCATAGATTCTGCAAATTCCTGTTTCTAAAATTTAACTTGTCTATTTGAGAAAAATATTGCATGCATAACTATGTTTTGGGAAACTGTGATCTCTTGAGGGTGTGGAGAGACAAGGGAGCCATGGAGTGGGCAGAGAATGTGTGAGCAAAGACACAGGCAATGAGTGTTACTGTTCCTATGATTCAGCTTATAAACTGGAGCCGTGAAAAGCACCAAACTGAACTGATTCAGCTGCATACCACCCTGGCGTTTTCCTGGAAGTCAGTAGCAGTAGAAGCCAGGAAGGCTTGGCCATGACCAGAGCGAGCAGCGTGGGTGTGGTTATGTGTGCACATGCTGGACTCACAGCAGTCCTTTGTGTACTGCAGCCCCCCTGCTTGGGAGTCAGGTGTATTCTGGGAAGCTGAAGACAATTGACCCATGTACTTGAATTTTTTTTCATGGTAAATTGAAATTTATTACTGGGGATGTTGGAATGAGCTAGTTTATATAATTAATATAGGATAACCATTCTGTCTGGAAGCGTTAATTATATTGAAATGGTATAGATCACTTATTATATATGTCTCTTTCCTTGGGCCTTACGGTCATTTTTATATTTAAGCATTTTGAATGCTCATAAATGCATTCAGTAGCAATAATGGAGGAGGACACTGAGTTTTGTCTGTTAATCTCAGTTGATTTCTTGGGTACAAGTTTGGGTCAGCAGTGAAATTGCCAAAACACAGCTCGACAAGAGGAAAGACACTGACCTTGAAATATCCACAGTCTTGGTAATCATATTCCTAATAACTATGGGAGTTCGAGCTTCATTCTGATCTTGAAACATTTTTTAGGTGCTTTGGCTTATGTATTGAAAATTGCTTTGATCTGCAAATGTCTGGTGTAAATCGTGCTAACTGTATGATAATCTGTATGTGCCCCGCAGCAGTCCAGTGTAATGGTGACTTCTGAGTATTTTGGTGTGGGAACAATGTGAAAATGAATATTTAGTGAATTTCCTTCTCTATTTCCAGCAGCATCTACTTTCTACCTTATCATTTGGACAGGACAGCAGCCCACTTCTAGAACTTTGGCCCATGGCAATGGTATCTTCTTCCTTGGGGAATCTGTCATGGAGGGGAGCAACTGGTGAAACTAGCTGCTCTGCTCTTGGCTTGTTTCGTGACACTTTCCATTGTAAGGTGGCAAGTTTGTCCACTTAAAAGTCATGCCCCGAAGGCCCTGGGTTTGGGCAGATTGAGGCCTTGTTTCCCACTTGCAGCCTCAATCCAGAGGCCTGGCTCATGGAGCCAGAGTGTTCTCAGCCACTTGTCTCTTGTGGTCACTGTCAGAGGCTAAGCCTACTCTGGGTTTGCTGTTGGTCTTTTCAGCACACCTGCCTACTGAGGACTGTAAAAATAAATGACTAAAAATAAACTTAAAATAAGACTCAGAAGCCTGGCAGCGCTGCTGTGGTTAAGTATCAGCTTTAGAGGACTTTGCAGACTGTGATCTGCACTTCAGCAGTCCATTAGTCCAGGGCAGGCTTGGAATGTGTAAAGCCACATCTTGACTTCGCTTCTGTGGGTGGAGTAGTGGAGGTTTGGGGACATAGTGTTGGGCAGTGCTGCAGAGCTGAATGAGATGAAGAGATTTAGCACAGTGCCTAGTTTGTAGTAAGGGCTCTAAAAAGATATATATATATATATATATATATATACATATATGTATATATATATATACATATATGTATATATATATATATATATATATGAACACACACACACAGACACAGAGTTTTGGATTTGGGTCTTGACTGAATAGCAGCCCATGAGCTACTACTAGCAGAGTTTGAGTAAGTTGCTAACAGTCTTTACATTTCAGTGTGTTCATCTGGACCATTCAGGCTGTCTCAGGTAATGTGGATTAAGTGAGTTGTCAGCATGCAAACAAAGCTGGAGGAAGATCCTTCAAGAGCAGGGATCCAGCCCTAATTGTGATCTATCCTGGCCATGTCAGGATTGTGTAGGATGTGTGAACCTTCATGGGTCTCTGCACCGCTAAGACTGTTGGAGTTGTATCTAGCAAGAACTTGTATGTATTACATATGAGTTAAGACTGCCACTGACATATGGAGCAAGTCTTCCTTTATTTTTTCCTAAATTATATTTTGTATTTAGGTAGTTGTACAGGGAGTTACCATTCAACAGGTACATTGCATATTTTCATTATAATGCAAATAGCTGTGTACATTTTTGTTACAGAATTTACTTGCTAGTATAAAATTCCTGGAGGTTGTAGAATTTCCATTCTTGGGTACTATGGGAAACATTCAATTTTCTGAATGCCTTTTAAGTAGTTGTACAAAGGAGTTGACATTGACAAAGCAGTTTTTGATCCATGTCACCCTTTCCAGCAGTCTTCCCTCCTATCCCTTCTATACCCAGCCCTTCCCACACCCTTTAATTTTGTAGGGTATACATTGAATTCTTGAGTGCCCTCTTCACCTATTCATTCATCTGCCCCTTTCCCCTCGACTCCACCTCACTCATTTCACATACCTGCCACTTGGTGTTTATTTTGTGTAACTTTTACTTTGCCTTCCTGAGGGATTACACTATTTGAGTTTCTTCCTTGAATCTATCATATTTCAGTTAATACATTTCTATATGTTTGCATACCACTCAAAATATTTACTTATGTTTATAAGCAAAATCTAGCTTCCACATTCATCCTTTGTCTCTTTGGGCCTGATTTCACTTAACACAATTTATTTCCAGGTCTTTCCATTTCCTTTTTTTTTTTTTTTTGGTCAGTTGTGGGGCTTGAACTCTGGGCCTGGGTGCTGTCCCTCAGCTATTCAGCTCAAGGCTAGCGCTCTACCACTTGAGCCACAGCACCACTTCCAGTTTTCTGAGTAGTTTATTGGGGATAAGAGTCTACAGACTTTCCTGCCTGGGCTGGCTTTGAACCTCAATACTCAGATCTCAGCTTCCTCAGTAACTAGGATTACAGGCATGAGCCACCAGCATCTGGGTTCCATTTCTTTACAAATCATACAATGTCATTCTTTGTAATGGATGAGTAAAATTCCAATGTGTGTATATAGCACATTTTCTTGATCCATTTATCCATGGAGGGGCTTCTGGGCTGATTTCCATAACTTGGCTAGGGTGAATAGTGCTGAATTGAACATGATTGTGCTGGTGGCTGAACAGGATTTTTAAAGGCACTTGGAAGCTGGGTGCTGGTGGTTCACACCTATAATCCTAGCTACTCAGGAGGCTGAGATCTAAGGATCATGATTCAAAGCCAGACCGGACAGGAAAGTCCATGAGACTCTTACCTCCAGTTAATCACAGAAGAAGCTGGAAGTGGTTCTGTGGCTCAAGTGGTAGAGTGCTAGTCTTGAACAAAAGCTCAGGGACAGCACCAAGATCCAGAGTTCAAGCCCCAGACTGGCAAAAAAAAAAAAAGGCTGTTGGAGAGAGAGTGAAGATGGATCTGGTTCCCATTAGCCAAAGAGCTACAGAACCTGTTTTTATTATTTTTTTTCAGAGATCTTTTTCTTGTTGGCATTGGGGTTTGGACTCAGGCTCTTTTTCTTGGTAGGCAGGTATTGTACTGTTTAACCAAACCCTTTTTTTTCATTGGTTTTTTGTTTTTGTTTGTTTTTGTCATGGGGCTTGAACTCTGGGCCTGAGTGCTGACCCCCAGCTCTTCAGCTCAAGGATAGCACTCTACCACTTGAGCCACAGTCCCATTTCCGGTTTTTCTGGTGGTTTATTGAGGTAAGAGTCTCACAGGCTTTCCTGCCCGGTCTGGCTTTGAACTGTGATCCTCAGATCTCAGCCTCATGAGTAATTAGGATTACAGGAGTGAGCCACCAGCGCCTGGCTTGCATTGGATATTTTGAGATAGGGTCTTCCCCTCAATGTCTCACCTGGACTCTAGTCCTAATTTATGCTTCTGTATTTGGATGACAGGTACATACCAGCATCCCCATCTGCTTCTGCTAAGATGAAGTATTAATATTTTTTTTTTTTTTTGCCTCAGAATACAATCTTCTTGATACCATCCTTTGAGCAGGGAGGATTGCAGGTGTGAACCACTGCACCCTGAGAGCACTGGACTTTTGAAGCCTCACTGGTTAGGGATTTGGCATTCCCAGAGTACATTCTAGATTGGTAACAGGCAGGAGAAGGGCCTCTCCTAAATAAATTCACAGCAGCAGCAAACTCTTGTTCAGTCTCATTCATGTGGGTTGGGTTTTTCAGTGTTGGGTGTAAATATATTTTCCCTTAGTCGGATGCCGGTGGCTCACGCCTTTAATCCTAGCTACTCAGAAGGTTGAGATCTGAGGATCGAGGTTCAAAGCCAGCCTGGGCAGGAAAGTTTGTGAGACTCTTATCTCCAATTAACCACCAGAAAACTGAAAGTGGTGCTGTGGCTCAAGTGGTAGAGCGCAGGGACAGCGCCCATGCCCAGAGCTCAAGTCCCATGACCAACCAAAAAAAAATTATATATATATATATATATATATTCCCCCTCCTTTTTGAATTATGAGGCCTGGCTCAGCTCTTGAGGGAATGTATCTTACATCTCTTCTTCCATGACCATCTGACACCTGGGAAGTAGAGAGAGACAGGTGCAGGTAGGGTCTTAGGGAGGCTGCTTCAGAAGTTGAGAACCAAGCTGCATTATATGCATTGAACTCTCACTTCCCACTTCGTATTTGCTCCAAGCCTGGGTATTCTTCCTGAAGTTTCTGAGTTGTTTCTCACCTTCCTACTCTTGCTTGGGCCTTTTTGTCTGAGTTCTGTTGCTTGGATTTGGTCATTGCCCGGAACTATCCATCTTTCCTGGTGGATGTGTGCTTAGGTCACCTTGCCAAATGGCCCCCGGAGCAGCCCAGTGACTGATGCTCCTGCTGGACAGTGGATACTACTTTCCTTAGGCTCTTGCCAGCAGGCTGAGCTGGTAGTCGGAAGTTCAATTTGTATTCATTACTTGAGGAAAGCTGAGCATATTGTCACAGAGACAGGCCATTTGCAGACCACTTTCTGGGAGCCAGTCAGCTGTTCACGAGCCTTACCTGTCAGGTACATTTTCTAATTACCTTTGGTTCTTGTGCCTGTCTTACAGAAGAGAGATCTTGTAAGGGGCAGGAGCATGGTTGCAAGCAGCAGGCACTCACTCAGGTTATCTTAGCTCCTGGAGAGGGCCTGGCCTTCAGAGATAAGAAGAGAGGCTGGCAGAAGGCTGCAGGAAGCAGCAGCTGGGTGTGTGGGAGCTGAGCAGGTTCAGGGGAGGAAGATGGGAACGCCTCGTCTCACCCGACTGCCTGCTCTGGCCAGGTGTGTACTGACCTCAAGGAAGCACAGCTCCGCTGTTGAGGCCCAGCCCTCCCAAGCCCCTCTCTTTGCCTCCTGGGTCTTTGTGGCATTCTTGTGCATTTGCCACAGGTGAGCTGACCTAGAGAGAGTCCCGGGATGAACACACGAAGTGTTCTGTCCTTCCACTGTTGATGGTGAAGTCGGCTGGAGAATGTCTCTCTCCTCATGCAAACTCAGCTCACTGTAACTTTCCTGAGTCAACACTCTGGAGTTTGTGTCTTAAATTGCCAACTGCTGTGTTAGTTCTCTGTCCAATGTAGAAAGACTCTTTTTTGTTTGTTTTTAGCAAACCTCACCTTGTGGTGAGAGGAGGCAAAGGAGAGGAAGAGATTGGAGTCCCCCAAGCTCCAATGACCTGAAGACCTCCCCCTAGGCCCCACCTCTTCATGCTCGTACCACCTCCCAGCACCCTGGGCCAAGCTGTAACACATGGGCCCTTAGGGGAGATTCATTGTAAGAATAAAACCATGGCAGTTTTGTAATTCAGTAAGAGTCTGGGGTACAACTGACAGCTAGCTGCCCTGGCTTGGTCCGAGCTGAGAAACCTTCGCATCTCTGCCCTGTCACACCGGCCTGTGTGGACAGTGCCAATGCCTTCTTCATCTACTTCTGCGGGTGGCTCACATGCAGGCACAGTGTCCGGCAGTGTTGGGGCCCTGCCATGCTCTCCCAATGGTGTTTTCTGAAGAGCCTGTTTCTTGATGAGAGGTACCTGGAGATCATCGACCATGACCCCTCACCCGCCAAAGGAGAGTGGCGCTCAGTGTAGACATCTACAAAGAAACCATCTGCACACATTTTCTTATTCAACTTGGGCTTTTTGTTGTCTTTACTACAGATGATAGCCAGCCAAGAGTTGAGTTCAAGCTCTTCTGGCAGGAGGCTAACACACCTTCAGGGTCTCCGTTTTGTGTTGCTACTTCTTATTTGCTGTTGTTACTTCTATCTGGCTGGGGCTTTCTTTTTCCTTTTCCTATATTGTTTTTTTTTTTCTTCCTTAAAAAAAAAC